GGGGGACGGAGCGGCAGGGGGGGGAGGAAAAGGGGGGTGGGGGGGGGGGGGGGGGGGGGAAGAGAGGAGCCTTTCAACAGCTATTCACAATGATGAAGGTTGTGTAAGCATGGAGGGCAGTTGCAACCCACATACTGTATGAATGAATGTGGTATTGGGCTCTCCCATTCATCTCTATGGCATGTAGTTACTCCTGTACACTGGCGCACAAAGATGAGAATTTAAAGTAAACACTGTCCAGTGCTGCTAAAGGCCGCATAGTTTACACTGGCAATTGGATACAAAAAGTTGAACCACCGAAAAATGATGAGCACCACACCCCTAATAGTTATGTAAACAATAGAAAAAAAAGATGCAATGGGGCTTTTTGTGGTGTTCATGTACGGATGGCAAAAGATAACACTTGGACGCAAACTAGACATCTTCCATAGTAAGGTTATTTACACCACGTATTTCTTAAAATACAATCTTTATTAAAATTGCATGATTGATAAATCTACAGAAGATCAAGTAGAAAAGAGATATCAGAAAAAAATCCTAAATGCCCCCCTGGCTCACATATGCACATTAAATCTATATCTGTAAAAAATTGCTGGGCTTTATCACTATCCATATTTCATTTTGCAATAATATTCCACTTTGCTTCAAGCTTATTGTAAGTGCTACGGATCCAGTCTCCGACACGTTTCGCCAAGCGGCTTCTTCAGGAGGTTTTGGGAGATCGTTTGGGACATTTCTCTATCAATCAAACATAAATTGATTTAACCCCAAATTAGATACATAATTGAGACATCTACTTCTGATATAATAATATAAGATAAATACCAATCGTTCTGGCATATGGTGGTATCTGTCCACTGATCCGGAGATACATCCTCGCACCTCCAGGGAGCAGAGAGAGGGATAGGACACACATAAGTGGCCGAAATAAAGGGGACTTGAGTGAGCCTCAGTATATACCTAACAGAAATATAAAGTTATTGTGATCCATATAATCACATTAGATAAGTGCTCTTATATTGTATCTAAACAACTGCCCTATTGGTACTTATAAAATGATTGACATGCATGTATCCATATCTCTTTTGTCAATGCAATGTGCAACTCCCAGCCTTTGCAGACGAAAACTATTCCACTTATTTAAATCAATTGTTAGTGCTATCAATAAATATCGGGCAGATAAGAAAAACAAGGAAAAAGCCACTTAATACATATATAAATATATTGTATCTTACTAAGCTGTACACATACCATTGTGGCCAGGGACTGGACTGAGGTAAGCACACCACCCCACCATACGGAACACCCACTGGCATAAACCCACTCTCTCCGAACTAAATCCCTGCTGCACACCATCACACTGCACAATGCCGACGTGTGCGGCCAGGGCGGGCCAATGGTGCGCGCATGTACCTGTCAAGGCAGACATGAATGGGGGGTATCAGCATCGAGTACTCTCCCAATCGGCTAGCCATCTAATGGGGCTATGCCCAGACATACAAGGCACCACCCTCCTATCCCGTACGCAAGGAGATTGAATCTCCAGTGCGGCGGGGCTATGAATGGAAATAATGTCAGCCGGGAGCATCAACTCCTCCCCGAATTGTGGGGAGAGGCGATGCCCAGCGTGCACCACGCCCCCATTGTTGGAGAGAGGGGCTGGCCCATTGAGTATGGAGCCCTGGAAGTGAAGTCCTCTCCAGACGTGCCCACTTGGTCCGGTTTTGGTGGCGTATGTCCGCACGTATGTTCCTCGCGTCCCGGCCGAAAATGTGAACTGCGAATGCGCCTGCCCGAGACTCCTCGGGACACCATTGACACAACAGTCTGCGCTGGATCAGAGACTAGCACCTGCGCTGGAGGAACAGCTGAAAACTACAGGCAAGAAGAAGATGAACGGATCAAGAGTCATCATTTAAGGGAAGTATCCTTTAATGTCTCTTTAATTACACACTTTTTAATCACTTGTATTTCTGCAACAAGGCTTGCAGCCACCAATTCAGCTTGACCTTCTTAGATCCATAAACCACACACATTGACTACCTATACTGATTTATTACTTGCACTTGTGTGTGAGATAATCCAATGTTTGTTTAAAACAGACCAGTGAAAATGTATGTGTATAGGGAACATCTACAAATGTTGTTTGTGCCTAAGCTGTGCCCTGAAAGATTACATTTTTCTCTGGCATTCCTCCGGCAATATAGCATTGCACTTCCTGGAATGTGAGTGTGCCTACAGCTGTATATCGGCAGTGTGAGATCTAAGGCACTGCTCATCTCTTGGAGTGAGATTAGATGATGTCATTACAGTTCTACACACTGTTATCGGAGGCTCTGACATAAGTATGCAAAGTCCAGCATCTGGCAAGACAGCTGCATCCACGCAGACACACATGTTGCAAAACTAGTCATGGTAAGTCAGTACTGAAGAAAAGAACAGCTGCTGGGGGACCTCAGGCAATACTGGTGACTTTGCCCTTTGTCTGCCTTTTTAGGCACAACTGTCAGAGTTCAGTACCGCCTTAGCTTCTCACACTGAAAGCAGAACAGATGACACTCTGAGCTGGCTGACCAACAACAAGCAAGACAAATGTAAGCACTGCAGTAGAGTTGCGGCTAGGCTTGGTGGGAACCCAGTTTGCCTGAGTTCCACCAAGCCTGTTCAAAACTCTGACCTCCACCCTCTCCTCCTCACCAAATCAGTGTCGGCAGTTCTGACGGGTGCATTCCCTGTTCTTTTGTGATGTATAGTTGTGTGGTTGGTAATCCACAACTGATTGGGGTTGGGAGGAGGAGGAGGGGGTGGCAGTCAGAGTTTTGAGTGGGCTTGGGCAAACTGGGTTCGTACCACTCCCAGCCTCATCAATAGGTGGTGATCATCAACCACAAATAAAAAGCATTCAAAGCTGCATCATGGAAATCTGATCATTTAATTGATGAGGAATTTAATATATGAATAAGTAAACCACCACATGCTTAGTGTGTACACACACACACTTGCCAAAAGTATTGGAGCGCCTGCCTTTACACGCACATGAACTTTAATGGCGTCCCAGTCCTAATCCGTAGTGTTCAATATTGAGTTGGCCCACCCTTTGCAGCTATAACAGCTTCAACTCTTCTGGGATGCCATCCACAAGGTTTAGGAGTGTGTCTATGGGAATGTTTGACCACTCTTGTAGAAGCACATTTGTGAGGTCAGGTACTGATGTTGGATGAAAAGGCCCGACTCGCAGTCTCCGCTTTAGTTCATCCCAAAGGTGTTCTATTGGGTTGAGGTCAGGACTCTGTGCAGGCCAGTCAAGTTCCTCCACCCCAAACCCACTCATCCATGTCTTTCTGGACCTTGCTTCGTGCACTGGTGCGCAGTCATGTTGGGACAGGAAGGGGCCATCCCCAAACTGTTCCCACAAAGGTGGGAGCATGAAATTGTCCAAAATGTCTTGGTATACTGATGCCTTAAGAGTTCCCTTCACTGGAGCTAAGGGGCGAAAAACAATCCCCACACCATAATCCCCCCTCCACCAAACTTTACACAATGCAGTTAGACAAGTACCACTCTCCTGGCAACCGCCAAACCCAGACACATCCATCGGATTGCCAGACAGAGAAGCGTAACTCGTCACTCCAGAGAACACGTCTCCACTTCTCTAGAGTCCAGTGGGGGCGTGCTTTACCCCACTGCATCCGACGCTTTGCATTGCACTTGGTGATGTAAGGCTTGGATGCAGCTGCTCAGCCATGGAAACCCATTCCATGAAGCTCTCTATGCACAGTTGTTGTGCC